TTTTCTCTGATGATGATTTTGTTTATTCAAGATTCTACATGCAAAATTTTTGATTTCGAGTAAATAGAGAGTTATATCCTCGATTTTATGTGATAATTATAATTTTGTTTATTCTATTCACAATTTTGGATTTTTGTGTGAACAGAAAGGTATATTCTTAGTTTAATGTAAATTAAAATGCTTATTAACTTGTTAATTCATTTATATCTTTTGTCTATCTCATGCATCAGCAATCTTAGCAGAAATTGTGAAGTATGGCTTCTTGTAGCATTGTGCGGTGACTCCACATGGTCTTGGTGCGGGGACTCCGTACATACTGTTCAGACTGTGCAGGGACTCCGCATGGCATGCCGTTTTTCTCAGATTATGATTTTGTTTATTCAAGATTCTACGTGCAAATTTTTTGATTTCGAGTGAGTAGAGAGTTATATTCTTGGTTTTCTCTGATAATTATAATTTTATTTATTCGATTCACAATTTTGGGTTTTTGTGTGAATAAAGAGGTATATTCTTGGTTTAATGTAAATTAAAATACTTATTAGCTTGTTTATTCATTTATGTCTTTTGTCTATCTCATGCATCAGCAATCTTAACAGAAATTGTGAAGTATGACTTCTTGTAGCACTGTGCGAGGACTTCGCATGGTCTTGGTGCGGAGCTGTGTGGGGGCTTCCCCGCACGGAATTGGTGCGGAATCCCCGCACAGTCTGTGCTGAGTCAAAATTATAAATTATCTTTTACTTATATTCTCACAATTTTAAATTTAATTTTTACTAACTGTTAGAGAAGATTCATGCCAAAAACTTCAACTTAAACTTCAAAAACATGTTAGGATTATGCTATGAAAACTAAAATCTCTGCATCACGCTAATAAAGACACATTAAATACAATAATCATGCAATGTACGTGGCATCGACTAGTTATAGAAATAATTGAACTATAGTATGGTTAAAATAATTGACCAATCATCTAAAATATCCTTTCTATTTAAAACAACAATATAAAATATCGATTCCATTTAAAACGTAAATAAGTGTTGTAGAAGTAATATTTTATATAAATTTGTTGGGAGGATTAAACGAGTCTCAAACGAACTAAAAAAAAAAATTATGATAGAAATTTAAGAAAAGAATATTGTATCATCAAAACTCAACTTTTATGATGCAAATTTTTTGTGATGATGAAATACTACAAATGAGTACATGAGAATTAATTGTCAATAAGAACCCATTAAAATTCCTAAATATATGAACAGAAATAAATTTATATATAATAAATCTGGATTTATATATATATTAAGATTCATTGAGTCTAGATTAATGTGAATGTTAATTAATTGAGAGTTAATAACATGAAATTCATACATGATAAGAATACTATAATATTTGTTGCACATTGAAAAACGAAATGTAAGATAACAAAAGTGGAGCATACGAAGTTGCTGCTCCTTTTCATTTTGTGGAAGTCCCGTCACAGTAAAGGGACATAGGTGATGGCGCATTAAGCTTCTTATTTAGAAAGGAGCAATGAAATCATTTCTGTTGGTTCATGCGTGACAACTGGTATTGATGAAGAGAGGTCGGCTGCTGTATTGAAATAACTGAATTGTAATATGATTAAAATCGTCCAAATAATATTCTCGCATGTAAAAATAATATTTGATAACAATTTATAGTGAGGATTTCATGAGTTTCAAACGAATAAAGAAAATAAAATTTAGCATAGGAATTTAAAAGAAGAAAATTGTACTCTCAAAACTCAACTTTTGTTATACAATTTTTTTGTTATGATGAAATACTGAAAATGAGCAACATTTTATGCTAGGGTAATTGGCACAAAACGTCCTTACCTTTCAAGTTTATTGTGGAAAACGTCCCTACCTTTCATTTTTTGGCATTTTTGCCCTCATTTCAACCTTTCTTTGCGCTGGACGTCCTTCCGTCCATATTCCGTCAGTTTTTCCGTTAAACATTCGGGTAATTGGCACAAAACGTCCCTACCTTTCAAGTCTATTGTGGAAAACGTCCCTATCTTTCATTTTTTGGCATTTTTGCCCTCATTTCAACCTTTCTTTGCGCTGGACGTCCTTCCGTCCATATTCCGTCATTTTTTTCGTTAATTAAATACAAAAATATCTTTTTCTTTCCATAAATAAGGGTAAAATTGTCCTCACCCACTTCACCCCTTTTTCCCGCCATCAACTTAGTCCATAAGTAACAGTAGTAGCAACATGAATCTGAAAATACTTTAAATGATTAAGTTAAATAAAGAAAAAATATCGTGAACACATTATATTTCACAATTCCACAACTACTGTTGCTGTCATCTTGTGTCACTGGAAAAATTTAGAAATACATATTAAATGGGTAGTCAATTTATAATGAGTCAATTTAAAATGAGCCATTCATCTTCTCCATTGAGCCAAAAAGAGCCATTCTTCATTTTGACTCATTATAAATTGACTACCCATTTAATATGTCTTTCTAAAAGATAGGGACGTTTTCCACAATAGACTTGAAAGGTAGGGACGTTTTGTGCCAATTACCCTTTAATTAACAGAAAAACTGACGGAATATGGACGGAAGGACGTCCAGCGCAAAGAAAGGTTGAAATGAGGGTAAAAATGCCAAAAAATGAAAGGTAGGGACGTTTTCCACAATAGACTTGAAAGATAAGGACGTTTTGTGCCAATTACCCTTTTATGCTACATTTGGTACATAAGAATTAATTGCTTGTACATGAATTTAAGCATTCATTAAAATTTTTAGATACATGAATAGAATAAAATTCATCTATAATAACTTCAGATTTATGTAGGTTAAAATTCATCAAGTTAAGATCCATTGAGTCTAGATTGCTGGGAAAGTTAATTATTGAGAATTAACCCCCGTGTGGTTCTCATTAGAATTATAATTCATTTTTCTCTCTTTTCTTATCAACCACATATTCTCAATAAAATAATATTAAACGTAATTCCATTTTTTTAATTACACATTCCTTAGAAAATAAAAAATATTCCACCATTTAAATTTCAAATAATGAGAGCCAAATATGAGCTTAATAACTCAAAATTTATACATGAAAGGATTTTATAACATTTATTACATATTGAAAAAGGAAAAGTAAAATATTATTGGAATAATTAAATTGTAATATTGTTAAAAACGTTCAAAAAATTATTAACATTTATAGATTATGGATATAGATATGAAAATAGAGACCCTCTCGCGTGTGCACTCTCTTTATATGTGTAGCAAATTAGCAATTAATGAAGCTATTGCTTCTTTTTTATTGGAGAACCAACTAAAGCTTCACCATAATAAATTTTGAACACAATTGACTAGATCATATGAATCACTTAGCTTTTACTCAATTGATTTTTTTAATTTTATGCATTAGAATCCTAGATGGACTTTGTACGAAACTAGATTGAATTGGTAAAGAAAGAAGACCCTGCTTAGTGTACAAGAATTTTTACCACGGCTTTTACAGGTACACATTTGGCTAATTTTCATTGGGAGAAAAAAAAAAAAAAAAAACTGCCAATACAGGGCTATCATTTCACCTCTGTAAATTACACCCTGATAATTTGCCCTGTACAATGGGCAAAATCCAAGAAAGAAAAAACACAAAAATCTTCTAAAAAATATAGAAAATTGACAAAAAGTAAAAAAGGAAATATTCAATAAAATAAAACTAATAAGATGCAGATTTTTCGAGCTATACCTCTAAAATTTTCACCAAACACAGACAAAAAATAAAATACAAAAATAAAGGTAAACAACTCCACAGACCAGGAAGATTTTTTATCGTCTGATCAGCAAAAAAAAGGGAGAATTAAATCAATATTCTCTATAGTAAAGTATCCAAAATCCAAAATCATAATCAAATCAAGAAGTTTAGGAGATGAATTATTATATTTCCTTTCAGCACTTTGAGTTCGTGGTTGAGGATGGCCCATCGAGCACCATACATGTCCACAGTTTACACACATGCAAAAGATCGAATTAAACAATATGATAAATAATAATATAACTTTTATATTACTTTAATATTGTCTGATATAATATAATCCGACGATCGTAGTAATAAATGAAATCTACAGATGGGCGGTTGTTTTGTTCATAATAAAGGTACTTTAAACCTTGTTTGCCCCATTATAATGAGACTTCGAAAATAATGAGTCTACGAATAGTAATTTCTAAAAGAATGTGCGGTTAAAATAAAAAGAAAAATTTTTGGTTTACGTGCTATATTATTTTACTGAAGTATGTGTAGTTGAAAATAAAAAGAGAAAAATGTGTTAAAAATTTAATGGGGACCAAACAAGGTCTAATTATCACACCAAAAAAAGAGAACAATATACTTTCACGAAAATTGAACACATTCTTTAATTAAAAATAATTTTAAGGTTTATTTTCAAAAGAATTGGAACGGCCAGCCCTACTAAACAAGTAAGGAATGCTTATCCTTAAATCATCACACATCAAGCTTAATCTTTCTAATGACGTCATTAACGTATTTAGGCCCACCAAATAAAATTTAATTAGATAAAGACATGCAAAAGTTTCTCCCTTTTTTCAATTTTGAAAAGAATAATGATATTCAACTCACTATTACTTAACACTATTCATTGTTACATTATCAAATACATAAAAATGCATTATAACTTCTTTGAACAATATGACAGTGACCTACTAGTGCTTAGACCACTGCCTCATATACTGGTGCTAAGCACCAATAAAGTTGAATATCATTTTAGAAAAAGGAAAGTGAAGAAAACCTTTTGGTGCCTTATTGTTTGGGACAAAGATATATAACCAATAAAATAGGCACACACACAAAATGATCCATTTAGAAACATTTCAGGAATGCTCACCGTGTCAAGCAGTCAAGGTATTTTAGTCTTGATGGACAAACCTTTGATTTACCGCTAGCTCTATAATCTCAAATCCTGAAACCCTTCCCCGGAACTACCCCTCTTTCTCAAGTCAAGTCAAAATCCAAATCGAGACAATGCATACCACATTTCATGATGTAAAAGAATCCAAAATCCTAGTCCACCACTACAAATCTATTTAAAAGGTTTTAAAAAAAAACCAGAGATCTTGCGAAAGCCAAATATGAGACTGTATATAACAACAAAAGAACAAGTAGACAAAATTTCAGCATGTAAAAATTATTCAGGTTTTCTTCTTACTTCAGGATTGGAGATCAGATTGAGCTTCCACATAGCAACTCAATGAGCTCTTGTTTTTTCATCTTTGAGAATCCTTTCAAACCACGAGACTTTGCAAGAGCTCTCAACTCAGACAGCTTCATTCCACTTAAATTGGCAATGACCGGGGTCTCTTCTTCCGATTCTTCATCATTGTCACTTTCAAAAATTTCAGAAGTTTCATCTTCCGAGATCTGATCAAACACGTCCCCTTCTGAAAAAATTGGCTCCACATCAGGTTCAGCATTAGTTTCCATCTCCCTGCTTTTCCCATTGACATGTGAGACAGAATTAATAGGGCCATCGTCTGAGTAAACAGGCTGAAATTTGACTTGGGGGACTGGAGACCTTTTACGGAAGTTAGATGCTGGCCTGCTAACATGTAGTCTCTGGCTTTCTTGCATCTCTTGCTTCACACTATTATTAGAGTCCAAGGTGCTCGTGCTTCTGTCTTCAGAAAATGGACCTACCTGTTCGGGCTGGTCAAGGACAAAGTCCCTACTGCTGGCACTGTTGCTCTTTTTCTTGCCCTGCTGAACTGAATGTTTCCTTAAAAGCTTGAGAAGAGAATCAACAGTCTCACTCTCTTTGCTTTTTCCTTGTGAATCCTCAATTTTCTTCTCTTCCTTGACTGCTGTTCTTTCACGAAGACGAGCCTGGACCTTTCGGAATAATTCGACAATTTCCTTTTCCCTAGGACCTGGAGTTGAAGTCGCTTGGAATTTTGGGTTTCCAGAGACGGAAAGTAATTGCCCATTTTTTGAAGAAATAATTTCAGATTCTTCAAGGTTCTCATAACCATCTCTCTCTTCATTGTACCTGTTCCAGCTGCGGGAGAACCCACTTTTGTTCTGCTTTGGAAAATCTGGGTTTCTTCTATACCTGCCAGAACTTGCATTGCATGCAGCAGGTCTGCTCCTAGAGGCACATGTCAAGGAAAAAAACTTGACATCACAAATGACTTTGTGGTGGTCACCACGAGTAGTGCAAGATGATATGCTCACTGCTCCTCCTGAAACTCCCGAGCAAGGGAGACATCCCTCCTGTCGCCCATGTCCTGCAATAAAATTTGAAAGCGCCTCATGCATAAAAAAGAAATGGGAAAATCCCAAAGCAAAAGGCAAAAATCCACCAGGGACCCAGTTCATGTGTTGCTCTCAAAGAGAAGATCTAACACTTTCTGTTCAAATAATTTGGTAGGCAACATGAAGAGTAGATTGCATCAACAATTCTGCGTGACTGCAGATGTTAAGCTAGAAAGTAGCATAGCTGGGACAAAGAACAAGTATACAGGGTTTCAGATTGACAATTTTTAATGACCATAAAAATTCAAATCCTTGTCAATAGTATATCATCTTCAAGCTGAAAATTTTTACTGCACCACATACCTTTAAGGCTTTAAGCCATAATATTGATAGTCACTATTATGCACTTAATCAGCAGTCAATCATTGATAATATATATTATTGAATCATTTGACAGAGTCGGTCCATCCCCAACCCCTCAATCACACTCCACCCCGAAGAAAAAAGGTTACGAGCTACAACTGCATCTTCAATTTCAATTCCACATTAGACATTTACATCTCAACATTAAATCAGACAAACATAAAGCAAATCTATTACGAGAAATAATACATTTCATGCAATCCATCACAACATAGAGAAAACCCTGAAATTTCAGCCAAGTGCGAGACTTCAAGATAAACGAGTGGATAGACAAAGAGTTCATGAATAAAAGAATCAATTTAAGCATCTAGCAACTCTTGCCGTGTTAAGGTTACCTAGAAATCAGACTGCTGCTGCGAAGAAGTTAATGCTACATTTTTTAAATGTCATAGATATCTTACAGTCACAGCTCATAATTACATGAAAGGAAGCATGAAGAATAAAGCCGGCCACATTTTAACAACTACCAGGAGTTCATCAGAAGTATTTAAATTGGGCCCATGATCAATCGAAGTACTTGATGGTGATTGAAAGGTTAAATGGTTAAAACTTGGAATAAATTGGGTTTCTCCGAAATTGAGAAGGCTTTTATACTTAGACCTCCATGGCAATCAAATGCTCATACTTATGCATCCTTTAAATTGCCCCATTTAGTGGGATAAAAATAGAACTGGTATCTCTAAAAGCATGAAGAGGCAATAAAAGAAATTATTCCATTCCCCCTGATTCACTTCAATAACTTCGATTGGAATCTGATTTACATATACTCGCCACAAGTCACAAAACCATATAATTCAGTTTTTCCCACATGCTCTTAGCAATTATATTTTGAGCAGCAAGATAAGCTGTAGTCCAAAAATCATGCCATGTCATGTGAGCAACAGATTTAGAAGCCAAATGAATCATCAATTATGGTTAGTGTCTCGTGTTCTTTACCCTTTCACACCTCCATATAATTATAAGTAGAACGTTAATATAACAAGCTACCTATATAAATGCGCTATTTGAAGTTCAACACATTGATATTATTAAATCATCTATATAAGCACATCAGCATTTAATTCCTAGTCAGTAGTCACATATTATTGAAATTTTATACTTCTATAAAGACTTTAAATTAAAAAAATTCCAACATACCCTTCATCATCTGTCCCCCCCCCCCCCCCCCCCCCCNCCCCCCCCCCCCCCCCCCCCCCTTCTCATTGTCTTTACAAAGCTGCTACATGTACATTCTTTTTGTCATCACATTTGACATTCTTGTTGTGTCAAAATCATGGCTCTTGATTTGAATAACATACATCAAGGGATGTCAAACTTGATGTACAAAAGAAGTGTAAAACTAGTTTAATTTTTGTCTTTACCCATTCCCACATCCCAACCCCAATGATAAGGGTTATGAAGGGTTTGATTTGTATGGTGAACACACGGTGCTAGGGCATTTTTTATACTAAGAATTAGGAAGTGTGTGTAAAAAAGCCACTAAGAAAAAGTAATCTTTATAAAATTGTAAACTAAAAATTACAAAAACTCAAACTATATTAGCTGAAACTAACAACACTTATTCCAAAATAAAAAAAATTCAAGAAATCCAATATATAAAACCAAATTATTAGCTCAAATAATGCGTAACACTGTTTAAACAATCATTTCATCAAGCAAATGGCGCGCATAGTCAAAATCCACAAACACCAGCAAAATTCAACCATGAAAACGTTAATGCAGAAGAATATTCCTAAAATCTCATAAACTATGAAACTACAAACAGAAATGCCGGTGTTTGGTGAGAGCATGATTTTAAACACTTCAACTAAGGAAAAGCAAAACAAGAACTTCACTCACACAAACCCAAACCTGGAATTGTATTGGAGATGAAACGAATTGAACACGACATGCTTGAAAACAGCAAGAAGAAGGTGTTCTTCAATGGCGGCGTTGCATTTCACACGTAGACACACGTATTAATGGTGTTTTCTGTGTGCAATTGCTATATATTCACCATACCATAGATAAGGGGCAAATAAGAGCTTTGTCTTGGGGCTATCCCATTGTTTAGAATGGGCCGATTGGCTAAATCATTCGGCCCATAATCAAAAAATTATTATTCAAAAACTCATTCATACCAATAAAAAAAAAAAAAAAAAGATGTTTTATCGTCGTATAGTATTAGATCCTATAAGGATTAAAATAACTATATCTCAACTTTATTCAGAACGTGTTTGAGCCACGTTATTTTTCAAAAAAAATACATTCTTCAACAGTGATTTGATATCATTTCAACCACACATTTTTCAATAAAATAATCTTACACGCAAATCTAAAACTTTTCTTTATTTTTAATCACACATTTCTTATTGATTTGATATGAATAATGTATTTTTTTCCTAAAGTATGAACTCAATAAATGGTCAATTTATATTCAAATTTGAAATAATCATTATACGATATCCTAATATGATATAACACCAAATATTATATTAGAACAATCATCCGATTCATCCCCAGGGGCAGATGGAAGGGGGAGGCAAGTCCTCCCAAACCCAATTTTTTTTAAGGGTAATTTTTTTAAGGTAAAAAAATTTATGATGCCATAATTTTTTATTTTTTTATTTCTTTTTACCCCGAAGCTCCGCCTTTGACCATCACTAATTCGATCATCTCTATTATTATCCCTCCTAGTTGTATCGCCTAATCCAGTATGTTGTATCAAATGTGTCCACATATATATCACTTATTGACAATATATCGAAAAAAGAGAGGGTGGGATAAGTAGGGCAGGCCATATCTTCCGGACCAAACCTACCGAACCGAACCCGACGATTCTTGTCAAATTAAATATCCGAACGTGTATCTGAATTGAGAACTGACAAGTACGATTTGGTTCTTGGTTCTAAATCAAGAACCGGAGAAGAACCGAATCTTTCTAATTTTTTTATATTGAATAAATCAAATTATTTTAATTTTAATTTTTTCTAAACAAATTAATAATTTCTAAATCCAAATTTTTGGTCCAATAATTTGTTTCATTTCTAATTTTTTTATTTTTTGTTCAATTATCCAATTTATTGTTTCATTTCTTAGCCCAACAAGATCTAATCCACTAAATAACCCTAAACATCTACACTAAAGTGCATAACGTTGTCTCAACTGTTGCACTCACTCTCGCAGCCTCGCTGACATTCCAAAACATATACAATCGCCGACTGACGTTGTAACCTCCGATCGAAGCTGTGACATTCGCCGACCGAAACTTTGATCGTAACGATCATTTGAACAAGATAGTCTACTAGTCTCTGACATTCCAAAACCATTGAATGTGTCATTAGTTGTATTTATATAATATTGTTATAAATGTTAAAAAATTTAATTATAGTACGGAACGGAGCAAAACCGAACCCAAACGATTCTATAATTATATTTGGACCCGACGGTTCCATTTACTATATACCCGAAAATTTAGGTTCAATTCGATTCTCTTTAAAACCAAACCAAACCAAACCGACCCGCGCCCACCTCTAGGATAAGCAAAATGCTAAGTATTTTTATATTGTATTACACTTCAAAAATTCATACTACTATTTTTCAACATATTGTGGGTGATACTTATGTGATTTTATGATTAAAACGAGGATTTAATTAAATTTATATTGAAGTATGACAATAATAATCCCCTCCTTGACGGCCATTTTTTTTTTTTTTTTTTGTAATGAATAAATTTTTGAATAGTAATTTATTGAAGAACGTATGGTTAAAAAATTTTGAATTTACATGAAAAACATTTTACTGTGAAAATATATAGATGAAAGTAAGTATGGAAAAAAAAAAGAATTTTGAAAGATTGATTACCAAACAATTGCCGGATAACTCTTGTACAACTATCTTCAAATTATTCTTCCTTCCTCATTATTCCACCACGCTTTTGAAATGCTTTCGATATATGCAACTTAGAAGGAGAATACATCTTTGTCTAACACGACACATTTTTGCTGATTTTGACAACAAAAATAATGCAAAACCGAATTTTTTCCTGTCAAGTCATCATTTTTTAGCCACATCAGTATTTAAGGTAACTCTCAATAGTAAACTAAAACAAAAAGTATAATTCTGCACGTACAGAATTATTGGGACAGAAGAAAAACAAGATACTCATATCGGGTGAGGCCCATGTGAGTTTTATATTGGAAAAAAACACACTACCCACCCTGTGTATGTGTGGATATTTTGAATTTCTGTACACATTCTGTTGAAATTACCCACTACCTATGGCAACACAAACAAAAATGAAAGTAGAGTGACTAAACTAACACAAAGTTGAAATTAGGTTACTAACACTGTCTTTGACCCAAAGAAAATGCACATCCAATGCAATATTTTTGTGTCAGCAAATCACTTCAATAGTAAAAAGTAAATTAAGAAAATGTACCCTCGAAAATTCATAAATCTCAATCCAGCACAGTAGCTCAAAAACAATGGTAAACTCAGTATTTATATGCCATTGTTATAAAGAGCGAGAACCAACATTGAGATGCGCTTTTCCAAGCCAAATATTGTAATAGATGATCTTTAAAGGATCGACTACTCTTATTTTAGACGTCGCCCACTTGAGAAGATGAGAAGTGTTCTGATAAGAAAACTGAACGACAAGATCATACATGGAAATAAAGCGAAGCAGAGCCTCTCTTTGCAACTCACGTCTATGCTTTGTGATTTTTTGCCATTTCATCGACATCCAGTTCAACTTCAAGAACAGGCAAATCCTTCCTCGCACTAAAATGACTGATGAAGTAACATAACATTTAATAAGGAATAACAATTCTTAAAAAGTTAAATGCCAAATAATCCAAAAAAGTCTAACCTATTGTTTACAGGTCCATGATCCACAGCCGTTCTAAGGCAATATAGTACTCTGCCAATAATGTCTGTCATAGAAACTGGACCAAATGTTCGGCTATCATATGCTTCCTGCTACAAGAGAGATCGAAAACACCACAAAAAATGTAGAAAATGAATTCAGAAAATTTCATGACAAAATAATCGAGGTTCACAAGGTATAGTCTTTGTTAGTTGTGTTTAAAAGGTAACATATTCACCAAGCAACTTGATTCTTTTACCGTGCTATACTTGTAATTTGTAAATGAATAAAACCTGTTTGGGAAACATTATAATTTCACTCAAAGCCAAACATTAATTTAAGGACATATATTGTAAGATCCACAACTACTACCCACTCATCCACCACTTATTTCTATCACATTATAATTAGCAACTTATAAATTTATCCAAACAAGCACGAACTTGAACCATCACTTGCTTTGTGTCTACTAGTACTAGGCTAAATTTCATCTTCTGAGGCATGGCAGAATGTTCTGTGAAACTTAAAAAGTTCGCTTGTGAAGATTACTTGTGTTAACAGTAAAGTAAGAGCTAAACGAGTTTTTGACTTGAAATTTATTCAAACATGTTCGATAAGAAAAGAATTACTTAAAATTAATTTTTACTTATTTTTAAGCTTCACAAAACCGGCACCAAACTTTCTAAAAGTAAGTACTAAACTTGGAAATTTAGGAACCAATAGAAATTTTGACCCCCCTACCACCCCACCCCAGATGTGCAGGAACCGTGAGATTCCCTTTAAAATGATAAAAGGGAAAAGAAATAATAATTAGACATAAAGGTTCATGTACCTTGGGCTTTAGATTTTCATTATCAGCTAATACCCAACACTGATCCTTTTCAAGGACAAAAGGCTCGTCCTTTTCATCGGTAGAAGCCATCTCGTACCCTTCAATAGCAGCTAACCTCCTAACAAGATATTTCTCTGTGCTCGTAGGGTCCTTTAGAACTACGACGTCTCCAACATATACTCTCCTGTTACAAACAGATAATCGGTAATAAAAGATGAAATTAACAGCCTCCACCAAATGTAGTAAGGAAAATGTGAAACCAAAATATGTACACACCAAATTGACTGTGCATCACAGTGGATTCTGAACTTTGATTATTGCTGGTCGATAAGTTTGATCAAATCACAACTTAATCAGGAAAATTGCATTACGAGCTTGTTTTGCAAGACTAAAGAGTTTACTTGTAAGTAAAGAAGTAAGTTTTAAGATAAATAATGTTTTACATTAACTGCATTTGGAAATAAGTAACTTATTTTAATAGTAAAGTAAGAGTTACTTAAGAAAAACTGAATCATCCAAACATGTTTCGGAAAAAAAATTATTTAAAAGTAACTTTTACGTATATTTAAGCTTAGCCATACATAACGACTGAAATGCTAAAACATTCTTATTAATACTGACTACTGACAAAATTATTTATGAACAGAGGCATCATCAGATTACATTAAAATTATGATCATCAGTCAAAGTCAAGATATGGTTGCTAGCCGTGCAAAGAATATTAGAATTTGTATTTGGAGCAGGTCTGAATACAGAATAAGGAATATTTAATATTATGTGTATGTGTTCGGTGTATATGAAAAGATAAAAGAGAAAGAACAGCACTGATCTAAATTTGCCTCTAGTTAACCCTAGTGTTTACAGTGAAATCGGAAACATGATTTTGACCCAAAAGAAAAAAAAAAAAAAAAAGAGCGTGGAAACCAAGAGAACTCGAAGAAACTATTTCTGCAACTTTGTCAAAGACTTGAATCACATATGATTCCCATTTTCCCATCTACTCAAACGACATATGATTCACATGATTCGCAAAATTGCAATCTACTTAAACACCTAAAAAAGTATTTCATATCTACTCTTAGAAGTAGAAACACCTAGAAGTATCTAGCCCTTGTTTGGGCTATTTGGGGGAAAATGAGTTTTGGAATAATGATTTTTTTCTAAGAATGTGAGTTTAAAAAATAAAGAAAAGTTTTCGATTTACGTGTAATATTATTTTATAGAAGAATGTGCGTTTGAAAATGAGTTTTGAAAAAATGAGGGCAAGCATAAGCCTAATATCACTACAATAAATTTTAAAAGAGAATCATCGACGTGCTCAATCCTCTATCATCATCTTCGTCATCATTATCAATTTCTTCTCACTTGTTATCCTCATCCTCTACTTTCAATTGTGCCTTCTCCTCCCCCTTCCATGTAAAGGCAGGAAGAAGAAAAAAAAAAAAAAAAAAAAAAAAAAAAAAAAAAAAAAAAAAAAAAAGAGAGAGAGAAAGACCAAGGTGTAAAATGTTCCTAAGCTATATATTTAGCCCAAAATGCTGAGATCAATAATAGAAAGCACAAAAAGGCAGACAAATGAGCCAACGCCTTAACCGTCCTTAAGCTTAGCCTTGAGCCGCAAGCCCCCACAAAAAGAGGCCTGAGCCTTGAAAATGGCACTTAAGGCGTAAGCTTCAAGGCATTTAATGAGATCCTCATGCCAGTCAGTTCAAGGCATGAGCCTCAAATAACTATTTTAAACAGCATATACATGACAGTACTTAGGCCATTAAATTTGACTTGATTGGTTCAATATAGTCTATGTAATCATTGACTGTCATTTTTTTCATAATGCCCATGGGTGCATACAAATTATGACACTGGCAAAATTTTCAAAAATGATGGAATCTGTTCCACATATGATGGATACCTCCAAGATCTCAGTCAAGATACCCATTTTGTCATGGAGACATCCACAAACTAATGAGGTTAATTTGCAATATGTTGGAATAAGGTGGATATGCAAATCATACCATATTTATATCTACATGTAAAAGGGTCAAAGATATTGCTCCTCATATCCATCTCGAGACCCATGGGAGATTGGACATACTGGCTGATAAACAGGGGAAAAAAAATAGAGTATATTTCAAACTATTCATACAAACATACAAGGAGCTGTTTAGCCTTATTACTTATGACATATTATCTAGTTTCAAATTAAGGGGTCCAAAGATCAGATCTAATAGAAGTTTGTCTTAAAGCTCCATTACAGTCAAAACTACAGAATCAGAGAAATGACGAGTTCTAATCCAGCCACAGATGCACTATCAGAAAATATTACCCATAAAATTATGGTGAACAAGTGACATTTTAAAAACGCCAGTTTAAAGTTATCATGTGTTAAAAGTCAGTAAAAGTATTGTTCTATTTGGAAAACCATACGTTGGATCGGCTGCTGGTATTTTTCTAACAAGAAGAGTTCCACCGCAAGGTCCCACTGTAGGGGCCATCTCCTCTCCCTTGTTCCAATGCAAGAACGTCAGTTTTCCCTGGAAAAGATTTTTCCATACAGTATCAAATACTTCAGTATCCGTGATTTGACCTCGTCTATAATTCTGGAATAATAAAAAAGATAGTGTCAGTTAAGAGTGATGAAACTGAATCCATAAACATCCAGCATCTTTCAGAAAAGAAAACGTACTAAAATATTTTAAATTAAAAATAGTATATAATCGAATTCAGAAAGAAGAGATCATCAACATCAAAATGAATCTGCGACTGAAGTCTTGAATACATGTTATACAAGAGAAAACACAAATGAAAATCATACACATGTTAATTTCATATTCCACAAAGAAATATTCTTCTATTTCGTGGCTCAAGTAATGAAAATGAAAATCTTGACAGAAAAAGTTTCAAACTAGAGGATTAGCAGTCGTCAATTGAATAACTGAAGTTTGAAAGAAGAAACTAAAACAATTAGGAAATTCCCAGACTATATTGCACATCCGAAGAACGCAAACTACAGAATGATCAGAAGTTAGAAAAGATTATGAAACACAAAAACAGCCTTATCCTGCTTGTACGCTGTGAAAGACATCACAGAGCATCCTAATAACTCCTGTATTTTAGCAAGGGTGGGTCATTAGAAGACAAAAGGTATGGAGAAATTTCTTCAAAAACAGCAACGATGGCTGCCTATCACTTCCTAGCATAGGGCTATACTTATAAATCTGAATGTAATAATCTATTGTACTAACGCATGACATCAAGATCTAAATGAAGCATTAACATTCATTTGAAAGACTGATAACTCGTGCCTGATAAAAATAAAAATAAAAAAGAAAAAAATTATGCACAACACGAAAAGACATCTTATTCGACCAGAATCCTTTCTCTTTTTCCTTTTTTCCCCGATTCTTCTATTAAGGTTCTATGAATGGTTAAAACCCTAAATTTTTAAAAGCACAAAAACATTCTTCAAACGAATTACCTCAACATTGAAAAAAAGAATTGTATCAATTCTTCTACTGTATAAAATGCAACCTTAACAACTTCATCCTTGTTTCTAACAAATCATCCTGTTAAACTAAGTATCAACAGCCAATACTGTAAGAAGGAAGAAAGTGGTTCCTCCTATTCTCTGTCTCTAAAAGAAAGTGATTTAGACTCCCCTTAGGTTAGACTTTGGAGCCAAGTATATTGACAAACGCCTAGAGAAATACTTCTTGCAATGTTGTTTTTATCAAAAAGAGCTCCAATTCACCTAATCGAGGACCTTTTTTAAATCTAGCTTCAAGCTATGGCACCTCTCTTACTCTCTTTAGCATTCTTGAATAACATCTAAACAGAAATGTCCCATCAAATGACCCCGAAAAGCAAACATTGTAGGATTGAGTTCATTATATTGGCCAGTACATTTTTTGAATCTTATGTGTGCCTAATCACTAAATTAGAGGAGAAGGTCGCAAGAATGCAACCTTCCAATAAAGAAGGTCACAAAATTGGATCAGAAAATAAAAATAATACAAATGCATTGTAAAGCATAATAGAATGCAAACAGAATGAAAATAAACTAATTCACGTGTTTCTCGGAGAGCGTCAGCTTTTTGCATCTTAAAGATGGCAATTTCATTTTAAATTTTTCCTTATTTTAACTCAGAGTATTCTTCATTCAAACTTCTTAACTCTTAACAATATGAAAAGATCTACGCTTTTCTTCCCATTCTTTTTTTCTTTTTTAATTCAAATTTTCTGGCTCAAAACACAAGGCATTACTTATTCGGGAATCTAAACAATATCCCCTTCAAACCAATTTCCATACTATTTATCGCTACAAACAAATCTCTCAACAACCCTGTATGCACAAATCTCCCAAAAATAGAAGCTCATTAGAAAAAGCCATTTCAGAAAATCAAGATATGACGCAAAGAACCCACCAAATACGCACATCTATGCATCAATTATTTGCGGGAATTTAGATACGGGTGACTGACCTTCCAGCTGAGGGAGACGGAGTAATCGATTTTGCTGGCAATATAACGCAACCAGGTTGTGTGGGCAACCATTGCAAAAATCAATTCGAGAGAGTCGCAGTATCACTGGAATTTGTATCTTGGAAATTCCCTTCTTATTTTTGCCTGTTCTTAAACCCTTTCTTTCTTTTATTTTGGTTCTGGTTTTGCAGTATTTATAATTCTTTAATTTTTTACACGGGTCGGGTTCTGTCCTAGTATATGTAAGTACCGTCGCGTACGTGTATTGGACTCCAATCACTCGATTGTTGGGGAGTTGGGTATGATTATGAATGTCCTAATTTTGCCTCCTTTGGTAAAAATTAAAATATAATTATATCAAAATCAATAATTAATTTTAACTATACATTTTATGAGTTTCACATTTCATTAATTTTCACTAAAAATCTTAATCCTCGCCAAATAGGGAGTTTGGTTTTTTGGAAAAACATTTCATTTTCTATAAAAATAATTCCTTCATTCGAGATTTCAATCATGAATGTTTGTTCGGTATCATAATTATAATTATTGGCAACTATACCTCTTAGTTTGATTGTGTATCTTTAGTTTGAATTCTATTGTAATCTCTTTTCAATTTGAAGTGAAGTCAAATATTAGTTTTTATTGCACATTCAGAACTATTATTCACATATTTCATAAGCACTATTAGTCATGCTGACAATAACCTGATTATAATGAACTCGAACATGCATGTACTATCACATTATAAAAGACTTGGTCAAGGATGGGAGCGAGATAAGTGCAAAAGATGAAACTCTCTTGCCTTTATTTAATATATTTTTAATTATTTTAAGTGCGACCTATTTATACTTTTTGAAAAAAATTTGGGACTATAACTTCACTTATTTTTTATTTATTTCTTTTCATTTTGTTTATTTTAACAAGGCGAATTAATTTGTCATTTTATGATGATTTAACGAAGTGAATGGACGATAAGAATATTTTTTAAAAACTTTTTAAATAAAAATATTCTTTGTTTTAAAGAACTAAGAACATTTTCAAGAGACTTTTATTTTTAAATAGCATATTTTATAATTTGGAGAGTACTTATTCGTATTTAATCTATAGCACTATATAAAATTTTAGTGACATTCGTTGATTCATAGATTTATGATATCATAGGAATAAGTATTTGTGAGTAAAAGAGACCGTGAATACCTTGCAAAATGATTTGCTGGAGCTCAAAGCCACCCATCTTGAAATTAAAAGAATAATGATTTTTGCTTCAAACAGATAAAATCATGTTAAATATAGATAAAGTTTTTAATGAAAACTTGAGATTACTCGTAACTAAATGATATGATAGTGACGACAACAGAAATGAAGAAGAGAATTAATAGGGGCAATATCCAACTGGTATCACTTTAACGATCAACGTACTATTTAGAGTTTTATTACTTGTTGAGATAAAATGACGCCTTGTGTTGAGGATTGTTGCTTCTTACCTCAATAATTCAACATTGTACAATAAAGCAAGAAAATAACGGTAAACATGACATGGCAAATACAAGAGAAATGTATGTTAAAAAATTAATGTTATTCGTAATCAATGATTACAATAGCTGCCATATGTGACATCCTACTTGTAATTATTTCATTACTAATGTAGAAATTCATTTGATTTTTTTTTTCTAATTGTTAAAATCATGACATATAGAATTTCCTGTAGGATGACTACTTAATAACTTGTTACGAGTAATATACCAAACTACATTTGTTATGATTCATAAGTAGTTTTTATTCTTTGCTTTATCTTTTCGTTTATCAAAAAAAGAAGATAAATATTATTTCACAAGCGTGATTGACTTCAAGTAAAATAAATCGAGAGGAGAAGAGATGCTTGCACAAATTACGCGTGATTATTTGTAAAATTTCTTATTTTCCCCATAAAAAAATGATTCTATATAATTTGGCTCAATTTATTTATTTTTGGTTTTAGTTTTATTATTTTTAATACTATATATAGATATATATATATAGAAATCAGTTACAGTCAACAATCTGGTTCCATGGTCTAGTGGTCAGGACATTGGACTCTGAATCCAGTAACCCGAGTTCAAATCTCGGTGGAACCTTTCTCTTTTCTATTTTTACATTTTCCACCCTAGTTTTGCCTGTGTACATTCTGGTAACCTTTCTTCTTCTTTTTCCCTCAACAAATATGGATAAATGTAAATATTAAATAGAGAACATTAATGTAATTAATTTTCAAATTTCTTCTTATAGTTTAGACAATAGTTATTTATATACTCTTAATTTTATCTTTGCTTTTATAACATCGAACATACATTTTACGGTATATGCTATTATAAATCTACAATTTAATCGATTAAATCTTTTCATAGAATTAATCTACTAATAAAGAAAGCATATGATACTGTTTGATTATTTTTCAAATGCTGGAATATTAAAGTAAATAGGTAGATATTAATGAAATATAGATTAAATGCATGACACGTGAAACTACATGACAATGATAACAATCTTGTACAATTCGATGAACCAAACACGTTCACAAATTACAAAGTGACATGAAATTCCATAGAGCAAATCAAAGAAGCAAAATTGAAATAACGGATCTAGAATTTGGGGTGCTAAACATAAGCTATGGAGGAAAGGCCTTACAAATTTAGATATTGATCAAATTATCCCGAGAAATCTTAAAAATTTAAGAGAAAATACTGTTTTATGAATATAAATTACATGTTTATCATTGTATATTACACGATTCTATATTATTTCTCTTACAAGAACTATCGTCATACATATATTCAATGTAGTTTTGTATATGAATTTTCGAGCTTCATATTATTGTTCATGCTGTGCCCTGTATAAATGATTTTGCTTGTTATAATCAATCACGTCGTCTACAACTACATGAGCAAGTCCAAATTCATTAGATTGATCACCCAATGACTTGAACCCGCCCAGATGTGGAAGACCATATCTCAACAACTACACTAACAAGTGAAAAGAGAAAAACAATTTTACCCCAAACTTTTTAACTGATCCCATTTGGTACCACTTCATCTACAATTTTGATGTTATTCTGCAAAGAACAGATCAATGCAGATATTGGAAGTTAATGCACAAATGAGCCAAAATATGAACCTAGTGTTTTGAGACAATTTGCACTGTTTCATCATGAGCAGTAATTATTATTATTATTATTATTTTCCAAAGATGGATATATATATGGCTACGAGAATAAATACAATAATTTAACCATTAAATCAAGTAAAATCCAGAAGGTACATGGGCAGCACTAGTTAACTAACATAGTTGGAAAAATAGATGACATGGGCATTCACATTTCTTCATGGTACACTTTGTAGAAACATAGACAAAATCGAATAAAAAAATTTAACACGAATTACCTTCTGCCCATTCAACATATCATCCTTAGAGAAGATTTTCTCTAATGTCTTCACCACCTCTTCGAATACAAACCAACCCATAATCTTTACATATAGTCTTGACCTAAAAATGTAAAGACGTGCATGATCAATGATTGCAGAATTGAATTCATTTCACCGGTCATATTTACTGTTGATATTTGAAATATGGACTTTTGGAAGGAACTTATATGTTCAATTCTTAACCATTCATCTTTTTGAAAGGCACTACCTTTGAAGTGTATATTCATCTAAGATACATTTCCCGTTTTCTTCTGCTTACTCTTCTCGAAAGTATAAGCACACTAAACACTGAAAGGAAACATCGCAACATCAAATTGAGCTTTTGTCATCAAATTTGGGTCAAGAAGTCCGCAAATGAGCGTGTTTGGCTAAGCTTAAAAATAAGTCAAAAACAACTTTTTGTTTATAAACATGTTTAACCAAGTTACTTCTTTTGTTGACCTCCAAAAACGGGTCAATTGGTGTAGTTCATGATGATGTACATGTGGGCATACTGAGATATATTGAATTTGAGCTCAAACACTTGTTCCATTTTGATCAAATACATTTAAGTAAATAAGCAAGATAAATACTTGTAGAAGAGGGAGATATCGAACAATGAGTAAATTTTTGTTGAGAGAAATAGACCATGCTCTTTTAAGCATCCAGAGATTCATCCCCTTAAAATGTTACAAAGATTGTTATTTATAGTGACCATGCGTGGTCACTGTTGGATCGGATTCATGTTGCTTGATTTGCTAGATCCTGGGGTCGCATCATCCGCCCTATACTCCTAGGCTGACATATATTTAATGAGAACGTCACATCAATTGGTCTTAAAGATACCCTGATCAGATCCACTTATGAAAGTCAGGGATCTCAGATGAGAGGGGGTTCGACAAAAAAGAGAAAACTACTTCGGCTGGACGGAGAAGACCACTTCGGAGCACTTCAATAATCCTTTCTTTATAAATCCATCAAACGCCACGTGTAAGCACATGGGACTTCCACGTGGTCGCGTTACATTTGGTCAAGAACATCTTTCATACTTGATTAAAAAAAGGTAATCAACAATTCATACCTCGTCAAATAACATGCATATTTCCAATTTTGATTAATAAAAAGACTCCATATTTTGAAACTTATTTGTACCTTCAAGTTTTTAAGCTTACCCAAACATTTATATAAACTAAAAGGCTGGCAAAACATCTAATTCTCATATTCTTGTGGTCTATATTTTTCAGCATGGGCATTTTTTTATCGTGGTTGAAGTATGCTACTTGTCTTGCCTGCTCATGGATCCGTATTTTTGAACTTCAATGTGTCGTCAAGCAAATTCACAGAGAGGGTCTACCTCCCATGGATCCACCATGATAAATTCAGAATTTTTACAAGCAAAACGACACATTGCAATGGGGTGTTCAGCTCGGACAAGGCCCTAAGTGAATGGTAACAAAATTAACTTCGAGAGAAATGGAATGACACTTAACCTCAAAACACAATATTGGTTAACACTAAAGTGTGAGGTCCTATAAATCCTCTAAATTGTCCAACAATGATAAATTGCATGAAACTACATCATTGGTGACTGAAAAAACAACTTACTCACATTAAATGATGCGCGAATCACAACGATTTTGACAAAATACATAAATAATCATTTACAAGTAGATCCATAAAGATTGACATAAGGAAACAATATGAACTGCGATTTTAGATTACATTATAGAAAAAACCATATCTTCACA